CAGAAGCCCTTTTTTAAAACAGTTGTTGCCAAACTGTGGGCCCTTTAAATGGAGGGGCCTACAACCCCAAGATTCCCCAAGAAAGCCATGGGAATTCTGGGAGTTGAAGTCCACCCATCTTAAAGTGCCCGAGTTTGGACAACACTGTCTTAAACCATACAAAAGAATACAGAAGGAATTATTGGCTGATGATGATGATGATTAACGTGGTCCTTGGTTTCTAGAACGCTTCCGGGTTGTAAGTTGTAGTAAGAGAACAAACTTCAAAGGACCGCCTGAAGGGCAGGCCGAACCCATCGTGGCATCTAGCAGAATTTAGCTCGAGTGCCTGTAGCTTCTCTTCATGTATCTTCTTAAGGTTGGAGGTAAATGCACACTCCAGGGTTTCCACATCTGTTGCTTTCGTCTTCCCCCCCTTTGTAAACCACCTTGAATGTTATCTTGTGACCTTTTGGATTTGGCCTAATAAAAGTGTTGCCCTGACATGTGTACATCCTGTTGTCCCAGCATTTTTTCCCCCCCAAAGCAAGTTCATGAAACTTCAGCTTGGGGCGAAGTGAACCTCATAAGTACATTTTTTCGGCCATTGTTTGCTTTCATTCTCAACTTTTCTGACAAATTTTGAATGTTTCCTGCTTTTCTGCTGCCCCCTAGTGGAGGGTTATGGTCACCGCATTTCCCTGATGCTTTAAAATGACAAGCCTCTGGAGCCGGATTTATTATCGGGGGTGAGTTAAGGTGACCTCCACAGTTGCAAAGAACCTTTCTGTATGGGTGCAAGTGGAGTGCGTGTTTGCCATGCAAAAAGATCTGCATCCTTTCTTTAAAAAAATCTTCATTTTAGTTACGAAATGTGTCTACTGCCTCGATTCGATTAAACTCTAGGTAGATTACGATATATATTGCAATACGACTTGGTGATGTGAACGAGTCCCCATCCAGCACACAAACCTGTTGCAAGTCAGAAACAAAAATGTGACGGTAGGGAAGAACGATGCATTGGCTGAGTGACAGACGAACCAGAAGGGGTCTGTTTCTACTAAAATTGTATTAGGAAAGTGGCCCCCTGCAGCTTCCATCTTCCTCTGTGTCCTGTTTGCAATAGTTCAGAACATTAAGACTGAAACTGGAGTATTGAGGGGAGGGTCTTTATGGACACACAGCTGCACCGTCCACACCCAAGATGAAGGCCATCAACAGACTCGGCACAAGGTCTTAATGCTTGATTGTTTTTCTAATGGCCATCTAGCCTTCAACGCTGTACTTCATTTGCCCATCGAGGTCTCTGCTGCTTCGTACGACCCCATCCTAGATATTGTAGTATGAGATTCTTGCATGGCTGTGATCTTCTGCTTGGCGGCTGTGATCTTCTGCTTGGCGTTAGTTAATTTCACCCTCTCTCTGTTCAAGGAGGTGGCTTGGAAGTCAAACAGGAGCGGCCCCAGCTGTGGATTTGAAGCTGCCTTGATGGGCATGTTCTGCTTTGTGACTCCGCTTTGTGAGTGCACGGAGGTGGTGACAGCTAGCTGGTTTGGCAGGATAATGTTAGGCTCAACAGGACAATGCTGATTAGACGTAACCAACAGGCCTATCTTGGCTACCTTCTATCAGCGATGGTAGGAAAAGGGTCCCGCTGCTACAGATGACAAAGGCGGGTGAAGCGCAGGGCATTGAGGACATCGACTTCTACCGGCTAAGAGAGAACATGCTGATTTATGGCTGAGTGACTTGGAATGAGCTTGTGGCCTGACAGATGGCAAGGCTTCTTCAAACATGCATGCCGAGAGAGAGCAGAAATCCTATCCTGTCCATTTAAGACTGTTAAAGAAAGTGATTTGTACCTTTTTTTTCAGGTGAGACCTCAGCAAGAGATGATGCCGTTTTTTTTTCAAAAAGAGCATTTTAACGCAGCCCCACCACAGCCTGCCTACAAAGTCCTAGAAGCAATCTTGAATTATAAAGAAAGGGAGGAAGTTGCATTTTTCGGCACTCTCCCCAGAAATCCAAAAAGTCTCTTAAGGTAACAGAGAGGGAGCAAGCCTGCACTCCAGTCACCTCAATGCACTGCCCTCCAGAAATGTTAGATCTGTCATCGAAAGCTTCTGGAGGACGTTGTGTTGGGGAAGGCCAAGACAGATACTTGGCTTCCAGCTTTGTGTTATGACATACATTCCTAATTTTATCTCTCTTTCCTGAAGCAGATCCCGCTGCTCTGTGAAGGGAGGGCGGGGGGTGGGGGGGAACCCCAGAGATTCTGGAAGACAATTTGTCATCCAGAGGGACGTCTTCAAGCTGGGCTGACAGAGAAAAATCTACATCTCCACTTGATTAACTGCCTGCCAAGCTACTTTCCCCTGGGTGGGTCAGAGGGCAGCGAAACGGAGCACGGTGGAGGCAACAGTGGTGGGTCTGCTCTCAGAGATGAATATTTTAATCTCCTTTGAAAGTGCTGATTTTTTTTTTTTTAATGTTTCCCCAGCCCATCCAACAGGATTTTTATATTAATGACGGGGCGGTTTCATATGCCGGCTATTCAAAGCGAGCTGCAGCTAGAGAGAGGAAAAGGTCCAATGAGTAGGATTATTTATTAAATGTAGAAGGCTGCCTGGCTTTATCGTGACTCGGGGCCATGTACCATTTTTGGAGACTCGTCCTCCAAAGGTTTCTTCCTCGCATGGATGCTGTTGGTCAGCGTACCTCGAAGCATTGCTGGAGATCTTTGGGTGGTTGAGGAGAAGCACCGTCTGAGTTGGTCCCAAGTTCTCGGAGCTTGGGGGGACTGCGAAGATTACAGTGGCAGCTTGATCTGGCCAGGCAAGGAGTGGGAATGGTGGTGAAGACAAGTGCCCCAAGGAAGACAGAGGAAAGATTTTTGCCCCCCCGATTAAAAAGACACACCCCAAAACATGTACTTCCCTTCCAAGCGTGGCCAGAATGCTTCGTATGCAGAAATGAATGCGAGGGGCAAAGATTTGATTTGATTTTCAACATCATTGCTCGGGGCTGGAGATCTAGCAAGCTTGAAGTCACGCCTGCAGGATACCTGCCCAAATTTAGAACGTGGTGCCTTTAAAAAGATTACTCATGATTTTGCTTATAAGGTGAAAGAAGAGCCAATGTTCTCCCATGTAAGGAGAGCTGTCCCCTGATTAAATAAACCTTAGACCCATTAATCACATGCACATAATGGACTGGTAAATTTGCATACATTTACATATGATTAAAAACAATAGCTCCGAAAGGGTGGGCCTATTTTTGGATGAAGTCTACGTAACTTTAGAAGAGACGTTTTGTCTCTTTTGAGGAAGAAAAGATAGAAAGCCTTCTCAGCAGGCTAGACAACTTATGTCAAATGCTCCTGTGCAGAAGGAAACTTATCTTTCCTATTAGCTATCCTGGGACATGCAAAGTAGACCATAAGGATCAGCTCTGTAAATTATTGCTCTAGGGCTCAGAAAAAGCTTAAATTCTTCCAAGACAAGAGGGTGATCTAACAGCCAGGGGGGTGGAATGGCATTCAATTTTTTTTTTGAAGCTGCAGCAACCGTGCTTAACTGTGTGGACAACCAGTTAGTGGGGGGCGGGGGATAAATGTTTCCAGCTGTTGCTGAGGTTCCTGTTTCTGAGCAAATTTTTAAGTCTTGGAGAGGGATGGGAAAGAGGTGGGGGGGAGTGCTGTGAAGGAAAAAATCCAAAACACTGTAGGAAAGCAGGAAATGGAAATCCCATCCTTAGCACGTATTTCT